TATATAATTTTTTTTTTGTGGTTATATACATTGACTGCTTATTTAAAATGGGTAAGTATGGATCTAGGGTAGTGGCTAATGTTACAGTGCTTACTTGGGAAAAACTCCCACTAAAACCTGTGCTCAGCCACTCAGTCTGTTGGTCCTGTTACTCACAGGACCCATTTCAGTATTTTCTCAGTGCACCTAGTATCAGAGAATTACGTACGTGGGAATCTTTTGCTTTCAGGACCATGCATTAGAATGACTGAAACCAATTGGTATTGTCCTTCTCATGTCAATAGGAATATACCTGGGTGCTAGGTGAGCCACTTTGGCATTTGGGCAGTCATCAATGGAGCTGCTGAGGTGAGACAAACCTGAATGAGACAAGAGGGTTGGATTCCACTGGCAGTTACACCATGTGTTGACATGTAACAAAAGAAAGTTTGACCAAGAGGGGTAGATGAGAACAGGTTGCCTGCTTTTATAGTTCTAGCGCAGGGGAAGTTAACTCAACTTTCTAATCATTATTACTGTGGCTTTTCTGTTGCAGACAGTAGTGTAACTAGGGTGGGGTGACCAGGGCATGAGCCCTGAGCACCAACTAAAAAGGGGTGCCAGAATGGAAGTCCCTCCCAGGAGTCTGCTCTGCCCTAATGTGGTGTTGAATCCACTGTTGCCCATTGCCTCCAGCAACAAAAATTGGGGGCATTTGGGAAGGTGACATGGGGACCCAGAGCCAGTAGGGCTTAAGGCTCTGGCTGTGGAGAGGAGGGACAGCAGTTGCTCAGAGCCAATGGGGCAGTTGGGGGCTTATGGGGGTCATGTCCCGGTAACAAGTCTCCTTCTCAACCTCATGTTCCCGTCCTCCTTCCCCTCCCTTCTTGTGGGAGATGCTACTTCTGCAGGCAGACATGTCACTATGGCTTCTCTGTTGCAGCTGCTGCTTGCATGTCATCAAATTGTCTATTGCCACTAGTGACAGGAGTGGGGGACACTTGGTGATGTGGGTAACTAAGGGCAACAGCTGCAGAAGGGGGCCATGAAAGGATATCTGCACCTAGTGGTTGCTGCATTAACTCCCTGGCTGTTGGCCATGCTGAAACCTGCTGGGCTGGGGGCAGAGCACGCACGTGCATGCACGCACACTCAGTCCCCCCACCCCAGCCTGGGATTGACTCAAAGAGACTCGAAGATCTACTGATCTAAGAACCAACTAAGGTGTGGAGAAGTGGCAGCTATCTGAACATGGGTTTTGGAAAACAATCCACTATCCATCCACCCATCAAATGTGCATGTGCTCTATATAGTCCTGTGGTGCACATAGTGAACAACACCTTGGTCAATGAAAATGCCTAAGCTAGATGCACAAATGCAGGGACTTCACATGGAAGGGCTGCAGACACAACTGGGGCAGCAAATATAGTTTTAATGTGGCCCTTAGAATCAAATCATGTATAAGACACAGGCAAGGCCAGAAAATTGATACTAAGACTATTACCCATGTGGGTCTAGGGACATAGTAAGGTTCTTTGGGTAGAGGTGATATCTTCTATTAGACCAACTGAGTAGATGGGGGAAAAAATGTTTTTTGGGAAAGTTTGCAAATAATCTTTTTCCCAACTACTCAGTTGGTCTAATAAAAGATATCACCTCTACCCAGAGAACCTTGCCTGACTAAGACTATTTGGTCCTTGACAGACTGTCCTCCATATAGACCCAGTATTAGGCTCTCGGGGGCCCTGGGCAGAAGCTAAGTTGTGAGCCCCACAATAGATGACCTAAACTGCGGATTTTGTGAGCACCGCCGGATCAGTCGAGATGTGATTTTTCCAACGATTAAAACTACCAGCATGAAATTCTATATAAATGTACTAAGACACAGAATTCTGATAAATATCTGTGATAAACCCAGTAAGGAAAGAATGTCTATTATAGGCATCTCAGCTCAGTTTCACTCCTTGCACAGCAAAGAGTATATTGACACCAATATGACACACTGTAAAGGTTTGGGTGGGGGGGAGAAGCTAATTTTCTGGTGCTGAGGATCTTCCCTCTGAAAACCCCCATTTTGGGTTATGCATGCAAAAAAATAAAT